TCGATGATGCAGAACTCTTGCCCTTCGACGATGTAGAACTCTTGCCCTTCGACGATGCAGAACTCTTGACTGACGGCATGAAGATATCATCTTCATCCTCATTGTCGCCAGTCCATAAAAAAGTATGTTTTGTTGTAAACTTTAGGTATGTTTCACTCTTAGGCTGTTACTTCATCCATATTCCCTGCAACCTGAGAAGTTCTTTCCGTATCTCCTCAAAGATCCTGGAAGGCCACCCGCACCTACTTAATACGTGAGCCAGCTCATTCAGTAGGGTGTTATTACTGATGAGTTTGTCCCACGGAACTAATATGTTGTCTACCCTGAAATCGGTGGCTAAATCCAGAAGACATTGGGACATACGATCAGGATATCCGGACATCTTGGCGAGACTACGAGACTGCAGTAGAATGCTTACCCACATTAGTGTCAAGGGTGTTTTATAGGTTGAGAACACAATGAAAGGCGGGAACTCGGAAGCGGAAAAATATGGCAGGAGATATTGGCGGGAACTATAGAGCGGGAAAATGTGGCCGCAGTTAGAAAGCGGGAAAATATGGCGGGAACTAGAGAGCGGGAAAATATGGCTGGAACTAGCAACGCGGAAAAATATGGCGGGAACTAGAGAGCGGGAAGATATGGCGGGAACTACCAACGCGGAAAAATATGACGGGAACTAGCAAATCAGGAAAATATGGCGGGAAATGGTGGCCCAAGATATAAGCAGGAAACGTACGGGGAAAAAAAATGGGTACATGCATCTGTCGGCCTATAGGTGGTCAATTAGTGCTAATCAGCCTACGGATAGCCGATTAGCTCTAGTCGACCAACAGGTGGCCGACAGAATCTACAACTACTGACCGATAGGTCTGGCCAATCGGCCACCCCAAAACCAACTAGGGCCCAATTGGCTACCTATAGGCCAATTGGATCCAATCGGCCAGCAGCAGGCTGACGATGTATTATTTTCAAATTAAAATCCGGCGTAATATTTATGAAAATTAATAAAAAATGTATTATTTTAAAAAAATTAGCCACAAGGAGGGGGGCGTGGCTTCCCCTTCCATGCAATCCCACTCACTCAACTGGGCCCAAAATTTAGTTGGCGCCGCAGTCGGCAGCACGAGCGTTTATTCAATCATTCGTCTGAAAAATGGACGACGATAGATTCGTTATCCCGTCCATGTCATCACCTCCGTGGTAGTACGAACCACTTATCGGATGACAAATGCTCTAAACTCTGTGCTAGTACTGCTAACCACGTACTCCCATTTGGTTGCAGGTTTCCCGTACCAAGCCGACGCCGGTGCCGAGTCCAGATGCGCCAAAGCGAAGGTGGGGGTCCGATTGCAACCTCCCGTCCGGATCTATCGACCTCATTAGCTTGCTTAGCTGTACGCTGCACTGGCTTGATTAATCTGATGAAGGAGAAAACCCACTTAAAAGTGCATGCAGAGCTTTCCTTCATCGACGATCTTGCTGCCCAGCCGCTTTCGCGTTCAGCTGCACTGTGATCAACCTTGGCGCGCGACACCTCCGCTGATCTGATAGCTCAGAAACACGGTGCAAGTGCGACCTGTTCTGCAAGGCGCACATATACATACATATTCCTCGTGTTTTTCTCAACATTGTCGGAGTACTCAAGGAGAGAAGGAGAGGAAACAAGTCTGCAATGGTGAATTTTTGTTTGGCGCATGTGGTGTTCAGCACAGAGACAGGGCTAGCTCACTCATACCGTCATACGTGCTCCTGGCCTCACGGCACATGCGCTAGCAGACGCTGCTCATCCCATGCATAATTGAGCGCAACAAAGATTTGTCTTGAATACGGCAGAGCCTGGAACGGAGACGCTGGACGTCAACCTCAGGAGCAGAGGGACGTTCAAGTTAGTCAGTCGATCAGTCCGGCTCCAACCAACGTGCGTGCATGAGTCATGACACCTCAACTCCTTGACCCGCCGATCGACTCCATCGATCTCCATGTGACGCCAAACCGACCGAATCACGACCTACGGAATTTAACATAGATTCTGCGACTGGAGGAGGCCTCACATGCATACGCTCGGCCGGCTTAACGGCACTCTTTACTATTTAGAGCCGAACCTTGCATGGCTAAGAGCATCTCCAACATAAAAACTGCTTTGCCGCACATCTATCGCTTGATTTAGCGCGGCGCGCAGCGCTGGCTCCAACAGCCGCGCTAAAAAACAGCGCGCGCGCAGCTCCAGCAGGCGCGTCAAAAACATCATTGCGCGCGCTCATTCTACAATATTTTTTTAAAATTGCATAGATAAAAAATGATACAAAGGTATTTTACATCGGTGCAACTAGATAGATAGTTCGAAAGTATAGATAGATAAAACTACGGTGCAACTAGATAGAGACTACTACGACATACATAGATAGAAACTACTCCAAGTCGCTACCATCATCACCATCATTATCCTCGTCGGTGTTGTCCGAGGTATCAGGCCATATGTCGTTCCAACGTTCATCGTCTGACGTGAAGATCAACCTCCCACCTGCTTCAACAATATCGCACTGCGCATTCGCCAATGCCTTCCGCCGACGCCGGTCCGCCCACTCCGCGCGGCGCCTTGCCGTCCTCTCCGCCCAGTAGGCACGCTTGTCGGCGTCGTCCTCCGGGTGGCGACGGCGCCACTCCGTCATGGCTCGCTCGTCCTCCTCAGCGATGAGGAGGCGGCGCTGCCGCCGAGCGTGGTCGGCACGGTCCATGTCGGTGATGAGACGCGGCGAAGGGGCGACGCGCTGCGCCTGCTCGCGCGTGAAGACGTTTCGGAAGTTCATCTGCGACCGGGGCCTCTAAAAGCGCCACGCCGCCGCGTTGTACGCGCGGGCCGCCTCGTGCGCGCTCTAGAACGACACGAGGCCGAGCCGCCAGACCGGATCTCGGCGGAGTACCAACCGTTGGGGCGCTCGCGGACGCCGCGGTAGCCCGAAGAACCCCGGCGGCGCGGCGGCATGGTGGCTCGGTGGTGGCTTTATTAATAAAGCGGGACGAAAGTCTATTTCAATAACTTTTGTGACCCGATGACTTGAGACTTATTTTGTCTAAGGCATATTTAAATGTGTCCTAATTATTGCACATCTAAAGTGACTCAAGCAAGCATAAAAAGAAAAAGGAAAAAAAAAGAAAATATCTGTACGAATCTTCGCCTAAAATTTACGTCACAAGATTTAAACGTGCAATACTTATGGCATATCTAAATGTGCTTTAGCAAATTCATATTAATTTTTAATATAAAATGACTATGTGTGTCATATGATGCAGGCAGACCGGGATTATCCACTTTTGAATGAAAGAGGAAAAAATACGTACTTGCAGCAGATCATCTTGTTGGCGTTGTACTTTTCCACGAGGGCTCGCAGGCCGGGGCCGTATTTGTAGAAGCACCAGCCTCCGCCGATGTTGCTGCATCCGCTGCAAGGAGGTGAACTGATGACGATGTGATCAGGCAAGGTGACGGCGTCGTAAGGCGAGGCGATGAAGCGATTAGGCAAAATAGCAATTAGACCGTCCCGTGTCGGGTGCCAGATCCGTGCAATTCATCGGCACGAGCGTCGTGCGTGGTTGGCAATCAGTGATGCGCAAGATTTCAGGAGTCCTCGTTATGCGCTTAGCGATCTAGTGGAGAGTTGCTACTTGGGCCTGGCCACGCACAGCAGAACATGCAACATCGGTTTTTTTTTACTTCATAACTGTAGGCTTGAAATAGAGAAGCACACTTACCTGGGGGGTCCTTCCATCTCGGGGGCCCGGGGCGGCCGCCCCCCTGCCCCCATCAGGGCGGGCCTGCATTTACCCCTATGAACGCACACACGCACATCCTATCTCTATGAGCACTTTTGAGAAACTGAGCCGACATATCATCTTGAGATAAAATGATAGATCATCTTACACGGTAGGTTTAAAAAGAAAAGAAAAGGGTAAAACGGACATGACTCTCCCAGCATATGTTTCTCGAATGTTTCATGCACGCGATTGCCCAAACTTTGGCCTTGCTCTTGATGTTTCCCACAAGGGAATGAGGCGACGTGGTCTTTCAATTCACAGTATTGCTGGAGCCACGGGCGAAGGAAGGTGGCACAGTGGCGATGGCGACGCAGACGGGAGGGACGGCCGAAAGAGGAAACGTTTGTGGCGCCAAAAAAATCCAGGGATGTAGTGCACTGTAAAATCTCCCCCTTCAACCAAATATAAAAGGTGGGTTAGGGAATCTGCCTGGGTGAGATTTTCCGTCCATTCCTTTTCTTTCTTGGAATAATCGTGGACTGCTAGTGCTAGATGTGATCCCACCACCATGTCGGAGCAAGCGACCAAAATCCAAAAAGTTACGATCCCACCCCATGTCGGCCTATGATATTCAAGCGACCAGAAAATATTAGTAAACAGTTTAGGCGGTGCAAGAGTCCAAATCTAAACAGTCACTTACACTCGGCAATAGTTGACGATGGCAGGGCAGAGCTAACTTATCCACACACACACACACAAAATTGGCTTATGTCACTGGAAAACTAAACTTTAGGGTAATGCCAATTGAAGCAAATAACTTTTTCAAAAAGCACCCAAGAGGAGTATACGCTCTGATTTACCTTCAGATCTAACTACTCCATCTGTTTCTAAATATAAAACCTTTTAAAGACTCAATATAAACTAAGTACGAAACAAAATGAATGTATCTATACTCTAAAATATGTCTATATATATTCGTATGTAGTCCATATTGAAATATGGAAAATGACTTATAGAGAGAGCAACTGCAAAATTTGGACGTGTCGTTTTCAGTCAATGAAGAACAAAATATCCACTGACATTTCGCCTAATTACAGTCAATCAAGAGCAAAATATCCACTGACATTTCGCCTAATTACAATCTCGTTTCATTTTGGAACGATCTCTATACATCAAGTATACACAAGCTACAAAAAGCTAAGAAAGATCAATGGAATCAAATCAATCAACACTGTCTTGTCAGGCCGTCAAAAGCAGGGCGTGAGGACGTTGAGCAGAGACACCCGCGCGTTCACGAGCGCGCGGTACACCTGCTCGCAGCCGTCCTCGGCGGCCACGACGCACTCCTCGAGGCCCCGCAGCCGTTCCATGGCCGCTCTCTTCTCGTCCTCCTCCTCGTCGCAGCATTCTTCCGGAGGTGTCTCCTTGGTGCCACGGGGCGATCCGGAGGACTCGCAGGCGGCGACGGACACCGTGCGGCGCCGCCAGCGCAGGAGGTCGGACACCCACCACACCGGCGCGGCCTTCGCGGGAGAAGAGGCCGACGTCGGGGACGTCAATGCGCGCGATGCGGAGGAGGCGGAGGCGGAGGCGAGCCCGGCGAAGATGGCTGCGGACGCGGCCGCCGCGGCGCAGGTCGCGGCCGCAACGGCTTCGGCGAGCGCGGCCTCGCCGGAGTCGGACGTCGACGCGGCGGAGGAGCAAGAACGGTGGGAGAGAGCCCGCAATGTGGAGGCGAGGCGGGAGATGTCGCGGTCGGACTGGCGGCGCGCGCGCAGAGCGGCTGCGAGGCGCGCCGCGTCGCGTCGGCGGACCGCGGCGTGGGCCTCGGCGAGCAGCTGCTTCAGGGACAGCAGCGCCTCGCGGAAGCAGCCGTGGGAGTCGGCGAGGAGGAGGAGGTCGTCCAGCAGCCGCTCCGCCCACGGCGCGGCCGCCTTGCCGCCCGGCCGCCGCGAGTGCCGGAGCGGGTCCTGCGCCTGCGGGTGGTGGAGCAGGTCGGTGAGGCCGGCCAGGAGCCGGCCGAGGTGTCCCACACCGTCACCGATCCACTCCGTGCCAGCCTGCGCCGGTGCCTCGGTCCACCCGAGCACCTCGTTGGCCGTGTCGTGCAGGCCGGCGACGACCGGGTGGAAGCGGCCGGGGAGGCTGGCGGAGCGGGCGCGGGCGTAGGAGAGCTTCTTGTGGCGCGTGCGGCGGAGGTAGGAGGAGGCCCTGGGGGCGGTGAGGCAGGCGAGCCGCCGGCGGAACCCCGCTGCCATCTGCGGCCGGCTTGCTGTTGCTGGAGATGATCGATCCCGGCGTACGTGGTCGCGGTCTGCTGGAGCTGGCGGCGTGGACCGTGGCGTGGCAAGCGGAGCGCGGCGAGCTGTTTTTATAGGGTGGTGTCATGTGGCTCGGCAGAGGCCGCACGGACGGGCGTGGCCGGCATGGGGATGAGTGGATACTGGATAGTGTGGTGTGGCAGGCAAGGCAAGGCGGCAGCTGGCTCCATGGACACGTTGGATAACTTTTTCACTTTGGAAATTGGAACACCGAGCTGTCTTGCAGAGCAAGGAGGCGAGGCCCGGACGATGCTTCGGTGCCTTAAAGGCACATGCCTTTGAATTACTGGCATGTGGGCCCACATGTCAGTGATCCAAAGGCAGGCATGTGCCGCAACCGAAGCTGCATCGGCGAGGCCCGGGCGGGCAGATCATCTTGCTATGGAAGACTCTGGGTAAAGTACGCACGTACACGAGCACTTTGTACGTGTACATTGCCTTTTGTTGGTTGGTTGGGTTGACCATCCTGCCCGTGACATTGCAAAGCGGACAGCTCAGTCAAACTCAAGTAGTAGTAGCAGCAGCAGGTCAAGTTGGACAATGTGAGCAGCTAGAGCAATGATCGCCACGCAGTTGACTTGTGTGCGAGCTCAGCCCGGCAGCAGGACGAACTTGACCCTCCACCGTGGCAGTAACAAACTTTTTGACTCCGTCCAGGTGTCACGGACAGAAACCAAAGAGTAGTAGTATGCGCACAAAAAAAGAAAAACCCCAAAGAGTAGGAGTGGCGCGACGGCCGGCGGGGACACGTGCAGTCGGCGGGCGCCGGCCCACC